AGAAGGCCTATGAGACATGGGAAGATGATTGGCACTAGGCATGAGTCACAAGGCCTCTATTACCTTCACCATTATGTCTCCCACGCTTCTTCATAACCTTTTGGGCTATCCAAACATCGATGGATGGATCATGCCCTTACAGTCTGTCCACTGAGACAGATTGGATCATTTTATGGACTTAAATGGCTAATCAAAACTTTCTTTGCATGGCAGTTGGACTTTCTACTGCAAAGCCTGGGGTTTACACAGAAAAAGGCAGATTCTCAGGTGAGATGGGCTGTACTGAACACTATACTCATTCTGCGCCGCCATGAGAATGCCCGAGCAAAGCTTGCCGAGGGAATGTCTGAGGGAAGATCTGTGGGCTTTTGCATTGACATTATAGAGAAAAGCATAAGTGATGATGACTTGTAATTCTTCTTATACTTTTGCCTTAAAAGAAGAGTAATCATTGATTTATATTTTTGCCTCTGTATTCTCATATCATGTATCAGAGTTTTCTTCTGCTTGTATGTATAATTTTCTTGCCTATGCAGTATGATGCCATGTAATGTGTACATATAGTCATTCTTGCAGGTACTACATTGAAATATTGATGCACATTTTAAGCAGACAATTTTCTTATCATTTTTTTGTGTGGGTGATTTACATTTATATATACTTGTTATGTTCCTGTATTTCTTTGCAGCAACTTGGCATTCTAGATAGTAGCTTGAGCTCCTTCCCTATTGTAAAATGTAGTTTAGTTTTGGTTATTCTAGTCTGCTTATTATAGCAGCTTTTACATTGGTAACTTGTTGAATAAGTTTCATTTTCTTATATTTTGAATCCTTTTATAGTTCATTCCAACTAGCCAAATTTGAATCATTGGGCATATTTTCGGTTAAGGTCTCTCAATGACTTTCAGATTTTCACATTGTTGCTGGAGCAAGACTTTAAGGTGATCGGTCGAATCAACTGAACTAGACTCGCGGATCAACTCACGATTTACTTCATCCCGTGGCTCTTGATAAGAGGGGTTTAAGATTAGTTTAGTCTAAGCTGGATACTAATGTATAAAAAATAAATAAAAATAAAATTAACCTGTCATGTATGTAAGCTTGTAAGTGCGTCCAAGTCAGGAAGATTTCTTTTGGCTTCACCAAAGTATGACCTAACCCCAATTCTCTAAACAAAAAATGCAATACTGGTCAAACTGGGTAAAAGAAATCACAAATAATATGCAGATTGAAGAGATAAGGAAAAGTCAAAAGATATTATAATTGAGCGATATAATTGTGACTCTTTTAAATGAGAGGTTATAAGTTTAAATTTCAGTGAGGACATTGACTCTTCTGCTTGTTGCAAGATTTGACACAGTTCCTAGAAAGCTTCTTCCTTTCTTTTGCTTGTTGCAAATGTACTGAAGTAAGCACTAATTATAGTTGCCAATCAGGTTCATCAATGGTTGATAGTTTTAATAACAAAAATATAGGGTCAATTTTAGAATTATTGTAAAATTTTAAGTTTTTAATATCTATAAAATTGACATTGCCCATTTTTCCTTATTTTTCGATAAAACACCTATTGATATATCCAAATGGATTGATTATATCAGTTCTCACTTTTTATTTGAGAGTATGTTTTCACCTGAACTCTCTCCTATGTGTGTGTAAAAAAGTGTTTTTTCCCAAAATGTTATTATAGACAATGACCATGTTTGGTAAATGACTGTTAGCTGTTTGGGTTAGAGGGTATAACTAATTGATAACATTAGCTGATTATAGAAAGTGTTTGGTAAATTATATGTCAGTTGATAGTTATTTGGTATAATTTCTTTTCTCAAAAAGCTAATTAAAAAAGTTACTTTGAGCAGCTTTTTAAATTTTAAAATTTTGGAGTTACAAAAAACTGATTAACCAAACACTTATATTAATATTTTTAACCAAGTCAAATAACTTATAGTAATCAAATAAGTTAAAATTGGTTGATAAGCGAGTTATTTTACCAATCAGGGGCAATATCTTTACTGAATCATTTTTAGCGCTTTTGACTTAGTAAAATGATTGAAGTGGTCAAATCAACAACCTTTTGATTAAAACACTGCTTACAAACAAGCCCTTAATTTCCAAAAAAATAAAAATAAAAAATAAAAAATCTAATACTAAGGATTCTATGTTCAGAAAATATTAGAAAGAAAATTAGAAAAAGAATTACAAATGTAAGGGCTTTTTTTGTTTTTGTTTTTGTTTTTGTTTTTGTTTTGTTTTGTTTTGTTTTTTGTTTTGTTTTTTTTTTTTGTTTTTTTGTACGAAGCATTTTCAAATTGTAGTAGCATTCAAAAAAAAAAAAAGAATTAACACACTTTTCGAAATTTGATAGGTAAGAAGTTGAAGAGTAAAAATTAACTTCACCATTTTTAGAACGAAGTTATTTTTATTGTTTTAATTAAGGGTGAATCAACGATTTGGTCCCTCACTTATTCGCGACTTGTCAATGTTGCTCCTGAATTACGTATTCATCAATTTAGTCCCCGAAAATAATTGTTTTTCGTCAAATAAGTCCCTCAGGCCGTTTTCCGTCATGTCTCAGGCGAGACCTCCGATTTGCCCTGGGCATTTTGGTATTTTCACGCCTTCTTCTTCATTAACTCTGACCAAACTTCGCCGGAGAAGCTCAAGCTCACCGGAAAACTCCATTGCCGGTTTGCTGCTTCGCCGGGAGAGATCAACTGCCAGGGGCGGAGGTCGCTGCTCCGATCTGCTGCTTCCGCCTCTTCGTGATTCCACCAGAGAGAGGGAGGGGAGATGTAGGTCCATGGACCTTGTCTCGCCGTCGGATGTTGTTGTTGCTCAGCTTTTACCGAGAGAGAAGAGATCGAGACGGAGCTAGCCGCCGCGATCTGCCAGGGGATCGCCGGCGCACCCCCAACGCATCGTTGGATTACAAAGCTCCAATGAATGCCGGAAATCACAATGCATAAACATCATTCTCCAGCAGCAGAGTAGAAGATATTTATTCCCTTATTTAGCTTACTCTTTTCAAAATCACTGAATGCAACATAAGCATATACAAATTTAGCATCGGAGTCATATGTATTGAGAGAGAGAGAGAGAGAACCTCGTGAAGTTGATCCATGTCGGATTCCATTTTCTGTTTCGGCGCCTCTTCATTTCCACCCGAAGAAGACGACGGTATTAATGTGGCAGGGCTCCCATAATCTTCTTTTGCTTTCTCGTCCTTTACACTACTGTGACTAAGGTTTTGTTCCTCTTTCTTCCCTTCTGCCTCATCGGTCTCGTTAAGTTCGGTATCGCTAGCAGTCTCATAACCATCGGAACCATATCCAGATGCCGCCGGCGCAGCCGCAGAGGACGAACCAGCGCCTGTCGATGCTTCAGCCGCCTTGACTGGTGGCGGTTTTGGCTTTGACGTTTCGTCAGAGGATGGCACGGCTTCGATCAACACCATTGTTGCGTTGCTTTTTCTCTGTTTGATTGTCTTCCCTTGGAGTAGACCAGGGCGTAAAAATGTTGTAGTGTTGCTTTGATTTGCTTGCGATTCTGGAAAGCTCTGAAATCGGAGGTGAAGCTGACGTCGGCGGAAGAGATGAAGCTCCCTCCGGCGAGCTTGAGCTTCTCCGGCGAAGTTTGGTCAGAGTTAATGAAGAAGAAGGCGTGAAAAGACCAAAATGCCCAGGGCAAATCGGAGGTCTCGCCTGAGACATGACGGAAAACGGTCTAAGGGACTTATTTGACGAAAAACAATTATTTTCGGGGTCTAAATTGATGAATACGTGATTCAGGGGCAACATTGACAAGTTGCGAATAAGTGAGGGACCAAATCGTTGATTCACCCTTTAATTAATTCTTATTTAATTTATCTTTTTGCATTCTAATTTGGACAAATAATAACTATTACTAATACATTTCTATTTTACTAATAGAGATTAATAAATAATTTATCATATAACATGTTGCATATTTGAATATATCGTTATAATATCTCCATTGTAATCTAAATATTATTATTGAATGCTAATTAACTACTATGTATTAAAAACAAAATTACTATTATATGCAAATCAAATTTATAATATTAAAAAAAAAAAAAAAAAAAAAAAAAAACTCCAAGACAATGTTTAGACAAAACTCATGTAAGGAAATATATCAAAATAAGTCTACTTGAATTAATATTTTTAGAAAATTAATGACATCAAACTTAGTAACTCATGTCTTGAATTTTGCTATTTTTAAGGGAGATAGAGGCCTGACTTTGTATGCTAACCTTAATTCCCTAAGAGGATTGAGAGCTCCAACATTTTCTAACACCGAGATGTTAAGAAAATGAACTCACTTCGGCACCCTTTTACGCCCAAGAAATGTGGTGTGAGTCCAAGGTGAAGCATGCGGACTGAGGGCCAACCTTGGAGTCGACCACGTTGGGAGGCCGATTCAACTAATTATGAGCTTGGAAGATGTGCCCGAAAACATGGGGTTAACCAAAGGCTACCCTAGGAGTGGAGGTCGTGTTGGCTCACGATCTTGGGCTTAGCCATTACTCAGGCTTGGCTACGACATAGGAAGTGAAAACCACAAAAATGCTCATGCGTGGAGGTCGGCTTCCGGGGTTGGCACCATGGTTGACTTATGGAGTCGTATCCATTCCATGGTCGACTTTTTGGGGTCAACCTCCAAGGTTGGCCGGCGTGTCGGTTGGGTGAAGATCTAGTCTTATGGAGAGCACGTCTTATTTACGAGGAGTCAATTAGATGAACTAATTTAAATTGTATATTCCTTTTCTTAGTGAGGACATGCTTAAAGTAGGTTAGAAGGAGTAGTAAATAAAAGAATTAAAATCTAACTGCGGAATAATTTTTTTTTTCTAATTTAATAATTCAATTAAAGTTTCTTAAATAGTGCGAGGCTTTTTTTTAACCCTTTTGCTTTTTGTACTTTCTGATGAACTTTCAACTGCGTGAGGATGAGAACTATTATTTTTCGGATAAGAGTGAAAAATAAAAATCGAAATCTTTATTGACTGAACTAGTAAGTGGAATCACACGTGTAAAAGCTACAAGATTTTTTTTTTTTTCTTTAAAGTGTCAGTACACTAGTACAGTCCCAACATAGCAAAGTTAATTATAAGAAATACTGAAAAGACTCACATGAAATAATGACTACAAAATTATTATTTCCATTTTTTTTTGCAAATACAATCTAGAAATTAAATAATTTTAAGAGTTGTGAAATTAAGTAAACCAAACTATCCCTCGTGAATCCTACCTAAAATCTGATTCACTGCAGCTGCTATTTCATCCACAGATGCCACTTTGCACCCATCTTCCACCTGAAACCACACCACTATTGTCAGCTTCTTTAGTAGACATGACCCCGGTTCGGTTTTGGTTCTGAACTGACATGCAACAATTTTTTATTATGAAATTAGATAAATCAAAATTGAACTTTCAACTTTGTATGGAAGGTTCGGTTTCAATTCTTAGAACCAGTGTTGCAAAAATCGCGCCTAGGCGCTAGACGGTCGACCTCCTAAGCACCGGCCTAGGCGCTCTAGGCAGTCGCGAAGCGCCTAGAAGACGCCTAGAGATTTTTTCAACATTACTTAGAACCATTATTATTTTTTTCAAATTGCAATAAGTTTCACAGCTTATAACATACTAATTTTAAACTCTCAGAATCTCTACCCAAAGGCTATTATAAGAAGTAAATCGCAAGCCGTGTTATCACTCCTCATATTCACTTTGAGCACAAGGAATCTTAGGGTATAAGTAGGTTTCCTGTAATTTAGTAGTTGAAAAGAGACTGACCTTAAGAGCAAGAGAACAGAGAAGAAAACCAGCAGCCTTGGTGACATTGAGATGAAGCACAGTGAGGCTAAGGCTTTCGATCCCGGAGATGATTCTGGGCAGAAGCTTAGGCCGCCGTTTTGATCGGAGTTTAAGGTTAACATGATTCTCCACCATTGTCACTTCTATGTCCGCCGCTCCTGCCGCCACTTCATAGCCGGAACCGGAAGAGATCAACTCGTTTGGAGCGCTCAAGCTTTCAAGATTCCCGGCCGTGGAGTACTGTGGGATGTTGAAGAACTCCACAAATGGAGAAGATGAAGAAGATGAATGATGAGTTTCCTTTTCATGCTTTGTTCCACTCAGGAATTGTAGCTCATGTTCTAGCTCTTTCACGTAATTTATTGCTCCGCCTATGATTGATGCTTGATCGCCCTGCAATCATAAAATCCAATTTTGTTAGGATAAAACACTTACCACTTAACAACAATCTCTTAATCAATAAGTGCTAAACTTGTCTTTATCGGTCTCTGTCCAACAATTTCTCGTCCCAGTATCCTTAATCTTGTTCTAATACTATTTGTTAAGATCGAATGCTTACTACTTATTCAAAAATTATGACTAATATAAAAGACGCAACTTTACAAGTTTATTTTCTTATAAGTGTGACACATTCGAAAGGCTAAGTACTGATACTGAACTTGGCCTTTAGTGGCCTCTGCCCAACAATCCTCTAACAACAGGATGAGCACGAACCAGTCTTGCTCTGATACTACTTGTTAGCTACTAAAAAATGCACAATTTTGACAACAATACATTTTTGAGACGGTGTGTGTGGACTGAACCAATTGGCTTTTACTTACCTCTACCCAACAATTCCCAACCACTCGGAACTTGACTTTTACCGTCCTCAGCCCAACAAATTCAATCTCTCCTGTGAATTTACGACAAGAAAATAGAAAACGAGAAAGTAGATATGAGAGAGACCCTTTGGACATAAGATTCCGGCATTAGTCCCCGGAGGACGGCGAGATAATCGTTCATCTGTTTCCGGCGGTTTCGCTCCACGGCAATGTGAGTCATCCTCTGGTTTTCGATCTCTTCCTGGTTTTTCTTCGTCCTTGGACGTCGCTTACGCTGGCGATGAGCCGGCATGGTTACGCCGCCACAATCCGCCGCCGCCGCCGCCGGCTCTTCTGGGTTTGAAGGCAAAAGCTCCGACGAAGGAGAAGAATTGGGAAGAACCCATTGCTGGAATTGGTGAGAGATTGGAGAATCCCAATTCGGGTAATGGTAATCTTCTGGAAAATCAAACGAACCATTTTCATCATGTTCAAACTCATAGTTCCAGTTGAAACAAAATAAATCTTGTTGTAGTGGCATGGCTTCGAGTGCCATTCTCTCTCTCTCTCTAAAGTAATATTTTACAAGAAATATAAGAGAGAAATGTATGTTAGATAATGGCTACAGAGACTTATATGGTTTGTTTTTTTTTGGGTGAATTGTCTGAGCTTTTAAAGGGGTCGAGCCTATGAGGCTATGCCTACTTTATGGAACAACAGGTATATTTCACGTGAAATTTATCTGATAATATATGATTTACTCTAATAATTTCTAGTACTATATACAACAAAATATTAAAAATAATGATTTCAATGGTTTAATCATTGGTTGAGTATGGAGTAATCTTAAATTTCCAAATAAGTTGTTTGATTATTGGAGCAATCTTAAATTTTCAAATCAGTTGTCCGATTGTTCCACCTAATAAAAGTATATAATTCAGGGAATTAGTAACTGTATTTGATGGTAGAAATCCTAGGTACACTTAAAAGAAAATATTGGTAAGATGGATCCTATAATAGAGAGTTAAAATAAAATTTAGGTGCAAAGATTGGTAAAAAGCTTGCATGCCACTACTAGGAGTCGAGGATGCGTGGAATCATACTTTATTTTACATTATTATCATTAAATTTAATGTTTACTAAATTGATAATTTAACTGAAGGACCAAATTTGAAACAAACCAAATTTGATAGTGAAGGAATCATTTATGGTCAAATTGAAAGTTGATGATGAACATTGGTAAATGTCAATAGTCAATAAATCATTTATTGTTCAATTAAAAGTCAAGATAAAAATTGATAAATGTTAATAGCTAAGGCACCATTTCTAGAATTAACTCTATTTTTCATTGACAATGCAAGATTTTTCAATGAACATTTTAAAATATTTTTCAATGAAAAAAGTAATAATTCAAAGTATTATACTTTTCCTAATGAATAGCACTTGATCCTCTTCCCTAGAGATCTCAGATGGAGGAACCTTGAGAGAGCCGCCGACTCCAACTACCGTCTATGTACGATCCATACTAGATCTGACCAACTGCCAATCCTACCTCCTCTACGTTCTTGACAACCCATCTTTGTCTCAGTAGAGTCTTTCAGTGGCATGTTTCGCTCCTCTTTCCAATTACTTAGAAAAAGTGAGCCACCGATTTAGATACAAGATACTATCATTACTGCCTGAACAACGTTCTCATATAAGTATCACATTATTATTCAAAATATATAATTTTATTTGATAAATAACACTTCAATTTTTAAGTAACACCTAAGTATTCATTTATAAATAACACTTAAAAATTTGAAGTGTTACATAGGAATGGAAATACAATGGTGCACATGTATTAAAGGGTTTTGCCGTTTTGGTAAATAGTTTATTAGTCAAATTTTAGTTTATTTGATAAATTTTAAGTTTTTTTGACTCAACCAAATAATTAAGATTTGTGTTTGGTAGATAACTTGTTGACATAGTTTGTTGATGCCAATTAATAAGTTAAAAATGAAAAAAGAAATTAATTGGAGAAGCTTGGTATTATGGATGGTTGCATTTTATTTTTAAACTAGTAATTGTCCCATGTGATGCACGAATTATTATTAATTTAACAAATTTACTAATTAAATTTTTGACATCTTCTGAATTAGCAAAGAAAGTAATGGTTGTGGAAACAACGTACTTGAGTTCTTGAGCTCAGAATTAATTTGATTAAAAATGTAAGTATAATGTATAACTATACAATGTAATATTTAATATTTTTAAAAGTTTAATTATGCTATTATTATGTTGATTTTAAAATTTATTGTTACTTGTATTATTATTTAAATTTGAATTTTTTTTATAAAGGAATATGAATTTGAAATAACTACTTTAATTATATAACTAACGTATTTAAATAAAACTTGTAAATAAAATAACAGGCGATATATATTTGTCGAAAATCTCCACAAAAAACATATTCATTTGAATTTTTTTTATGTAAGAACTATATTTATTTTATATCTAATTTATCCTCTTTATATATGCGGAGTCAAATTAATTATAATTGCGATTTAAATGAATATATACACAAATTATGTTAAATATAAAACTTTACCAATAAATTTGAACACAATAATTTTTTTTTTCATACTTCATTATGCTTTAATATATATATATATATATATATATATATATATATATATATATATATATATATATATATATATATATATATATATATATATATATATATATATATATATAGATCGAGATAGAGCTATAATAATAAAATATAATTTATAAAATATAAATACACATAATAACTTCAAAAAAATATGTATAAATACATCTACCCACACAATTAATGCATTCATACTTGCTAATCTTGTTTCTATCAAAATGCATTCACACTTTGAAAGAAAAATTTTGTGGCTAGATTCTGTTTTATTATATATAAAGATAAAGATGTCTAATTTATTCCTAATAGTTGTTGACATATTTTTTGTGGTATTTATGTTTATTCTATTTTTATTTAAATTACATTTTAATGTTGAATCATCATCAAGAATAAGAAACTATATTATTAATAATAAAACAAATATTTAAACGAATAAATAATAATAATATAATTATTTTTAAAATACATTATTTAAAATTTACATCTAAAACTAAAAATAATATAACTTAACAAATAAAATAATTGACTCATGCCCTTATAAGTAATTTTACATCTTATCGACTAATCGCAAACAACTAATTTTTCCATCATTTTTTTAACGAATTATATTGCTAATACTTTTAATTATAAAAATAGTAGACAATTAATATTTTACATATTTAAAGAAAAATATTTACAAACTCCTATATTTCATTTTATATTTACACATTTTTCTTTGTTTCGTGTCTAATATTTTTATAAAATTGTCATTTCTTCATATCTCGTGTCTAGTTTCATATAGTCATGTTTCTCATTTTCAATTTCCATACTAGTTGGCCTACAATCGATTAATATATTGTAACATGCGTTTCTCTATATTACCATATTGCAACAAATTTGTATTTTTTTGGGATACAAGGAAATGCATAATAACATACTACACGAAGCATACGGACATACGGTCTAGTTAGCCTGCAATCCATTATTATGTCATAACATTTTATTTTTTAATATTACCATATATTGCAACAAATTCTTTTTTTTTTTTTAATACAAGAAAAATGTATAAGAACATACTACACAAAACATGATCCTGACATACCAATATCATCTCGGTAGTATGCAGTTTTTGGGAGAAGATACCAAAGTTTGAACCTTGACGGTGGCACTGTGATGATTATGTCTAAAGTGGACAGATTATTTATGTCACTGCACCACTCACATGCACCACTACACCACTCCAAATATCTTGACCGTCTGATCTTTCATTTAAACGGTAGATAGGAGTTCATAAGTTCACACCTAGATAGTGGTTTACACCATAACCGGACCCTATATATATATAATGTTTAAAATTGTATCATTACCATTATTATTTATTAAGAAGAAAAGAAAACAAATACCCACATCACAATGGGATTCTTGACTGAAATAGAAATTTATATGATCAGACTAAAAATATACAAATTTTGAAACCAAAAAAAAAAAAAAAAAAGAAAAAAAAAAAAGAGACAAAACAGCTTTTCTAAATATGTTTGAATCTAACTTTTACCTATTTGGATCCAAATTTTAACAATAGAGTCAAATATCAAAGAAGCTTCAGGTTCTATAGACAAAAGCGTCGCAATAGAGTCAGACTTGGATAGCAAGATCATTATTTCATTAACAATATCAAAGAAGTTTCACGTTCCCCAAACGAATTCAGCTTCAATCTTGAAAAACAATTAGAGATTCAAGTTTCGTGTACCATTGAAAATTTGTTGCAATGTCTGATTTTAAGAATGGTTTATCATTGCATCGATTTTATTATAAACATTCATCATATGATTAAGAGTTAATACCCAAAATAGTCCCTCGACTATGTCGTAATTACCAATTTGGTCCTCGACTATCATTCTTACCCAATTAAGTCCTCAACTATACAATTTTTACCCAATGTAGTCCTTTAATTTGTCAATTTGACTGTTTGTTGACTGTCAAAAGTGGAAATAAAGTTGTAATTTTACAAGTTTTCTCCTTCCTCATTTAGCAGTGCCAAACCATGTAGCAATAAGCTCCGGTTGGGTTCTAAACCTGTCAGTATCGAAGTAGTGGTTATGCATCGGATAGCCCATGAATTTGATTTCCAACGATTTTTTGACGATCGAAATCTGATCGGAGTGTATTGCTGCATGGTTTGGCGCTGCTAATTGGAGAGGAATGAGAAATCTTGTAAAATTATAATTTTATCTCCCGACTTTTGACAGTCAACAAACAGTCAAATTAATACAGAGGACTAAATTGGATAAGAATTGTATAGTTGAGGACTAAATTGGGTAAGAATTGTATAGTTGAGGACTTAATTGAGTAAAAGTTACATAGTTGAGGACTTAATTGGGTAAGAATGGTAGTTGAGGACCAAATTGGTAATTATGACATAGTCGAGGACCATTTTAGATATTAACTCTATGATTAATGAATTAGCTCTTTTATTTAAAAACAAATAAAAAATTTTACCTATTTGGATCCAAATTTTAAAATGTGTCAATTTTTATCTATCTATCCACAACATCGCATGCAAGCGCAGCAGCTACTAATAGGTTACACAGAACAAGTGACCTGCATGCTTTCAATATATAAGAAAACCCTATTGGATCTCATCTGATCTGCACCCACATGGCTAAACCCTATCCCCACCACATGCACACATTCACAACTTGCATATATTTATTTATATGAAGAATCAGACAGATGCGCCAAGTCCAATCTGCTATATATATGTGTTTTGTCTTCTGTTTCCACTTGAAATTTATAATCCACCACTCCAAGCATTCCAATAAACAAAGGTCACCTTTTTGTTTGGATTTAACCTAATTTATATTGTAGAGGGAGAAGATTCTTAGGAAAAATATAATGATAATTGTACTTTCCGTAGCAAAGTTATAAAATTACGATTCAATTTTTATGAATTAATCAAAGCATGTCAAATAGTAGAGTGAAAAAAGTTGAAATTAAGTGTCGTATTA